CGGCCAAGCCACCCGTTGTATCTATCCTGAAGCGCTTGAGGAAGATCGTAATGATTAAGATTCGGATACGGTTCGATTCCTGCAAAATGTTTGTTAGATGAATAATTATAAGAGGAGTTGAGTATTTTTTTTATATATACATATATATTTTGTTTACCTTTTTTAAGCATGTAGTTGATCAACCTGTTATAGTAAGCAACTCCCTTCCTATTGACCTTTCCAGTTCCATCTGCAATTTCATTTGAAGGAACATGTGATTTATGATATTAGTTAGTGGGAGACACTACGATCGGTCCCGTTACGGAACCATTCGGTCGGAATTTGTAACCGTTAGATCAACTATCCCCAACGGTTACATGATGATCTAACGTTACAAATCCCGACGGAATGGTTCCGTAACAGAACCGTAGCATTTCTCCTAGTTAGGAGACTAGTGAATATTATTTTACAAGGGGAATTGGTAATAATTAATATTATATTTACTTGGGAATATTCTGGACCAAGAAATTGAGAATCTGTAGGCATCAAAGTTCATCTTGGCCATAAGATCAATGTCCTCCTGTGCAATTCGAACACACGTTGAAATATAACCAAAAAACAGAAAGTATTACGGAACCATTTCGTCAGGATTTGTAACCGTTAGATCAATAATCCACGACGATTACATGATAATCTAACAGTTACAAATCTCGACGAAATGATTCTGTAACGGAACTAGTGTAGCATTTCTCAAAAGAGTTTATTATCTTAGTTGTATTTTTCATTGTCAATTAACATATAACCAAATATACTGATAAAAAAAAATAACTAAAAAGAATAAAAATTTGAGGCCCCAAATAGCATGTGCCCTTAGGCAATAGATCTGGACCTTTATTTATTAATTTATTAACACAAAGGGCCCAGCTGAAAATAATGTTTTTGAAGAATGGGGAAAAAAAGTTGTACTGGGCGATTTCAATTATTGTGATCATTTATTTATTTATTTATTTATTTGTTTTTTATATTTATATTTTTGGCTGCATATACTTTTGTGTGTGTGACGTTAGAGATAATAAAGTTACTTAATTTTTTAGGTATTTTTTCTGTAATAAACTTATACTATTATGCATATTATAATTAGGCTCATATTTATAAATTAGGCTCATTTTTTCTCGCGTCTATGATACAACTCACAATAGAATATTTTAATAAATAAAAATTTAGATTTATTACTATTAGACAACAAAGTGACAGAAATTAAAATACAAAAAAGTGCACGTACTTTCAATATATAGATAATAAAAATAATTAAGAAAAAGTAGATGTAATAACAATATCGTTCTCTTGATTATTATTATTAAATATTATCGGTATTCATACAATTTATTTGCGTGATTATAACGGATAAGCCACTTGAGACCGCCATATTTTGGAAGAGAGAGAGAGGACAAACTGACTTTGTATTTGTGGTATTGGTCCACTGACACTTCTCCAGAGGCATTATTGGGCTCGCGTCCTGTATGTTTGTTGTTCACATTTCAAAAATAACTAGCTCAAAAAGTCGGAAGATGCTACGGTCCCGTTATAAAACAATTTTGTTGGTTTTGTAACCGTTAGATCAATTATCCTCGACGGTTATATGATGATCTAACGGTGACAAATCTCGACGGAATGATTCTGTAATTGGACCGTAACATTACCTCAAAAAGTCATTTGATTATTAATTGTATCAACAAATCATACAAATTATACCGGGAACTTTGATGAAAGTATCCCAAATGCTTGGGCCTCGACCGTCCTTGTCGGCCATGCCCTCGACTTGATAGGCGGAGGATGCCGTCCCGAACACGAATTTCTTCGGGAAAGTGTCTCGACTAAGCCCGCCGAGGTCGAGGCCAACGGCGGCTTCTTCCGGCTGATCAAAGCATTGTGCTGAGAATAAAGTGTTGGTGCAAAGGAGGAGAAAGAAGAGAAACGAGGCCTTGTTCATTTTCGTGAGCAAGGTGAATGGTGTGGGGGAGAATTGGGTTGTATGAATAGTGTGAGCTAGCAAGTGTTGTACTAGAAAAGAGTTATCGCTATCCTCTTTTTATATATGAATGAATGAAATAAATATAAGAAAGGAAAATAGGAGAGTAATAATAATACCGATAAAGAAGAAAAAAAAGGAGGGTAAAGTAATTTCAATTGTCCTTTTTATATAATAAGAAAATAGGAGAGTATATATGGGCTTGACACGTTACAATCAATGTGGCATATTATTTTAGAGAAGATTTTTGTGTACTATAAAATATTAAATGTAAAATAAAAAATGAAAGAAAAAAAATATTTATATATATTATTGAAGTTGGAAAAAAAAAAACTATATAAGTGAATTAACAATATTCATTTAAATTCTAAAAACTAATTTATGTATAAATCATTAGATTTGTGTTGGAATATTTGGCCCAAAACCACTTACCTTATCTCAGGCCCAAGGAAGTCTTGGCATGTTCCCGTCTGGGCTTGGCCCTCTTACACATAAGTGGTGGCAGGAATTAATTTGGACCCTTGGATTTAGGGAATAAATCCACACCATCCATCCTACACCTTAAATACCTCTCCTTACCCTAATTTCTGATGACTCTCACACACACTCTCTATCTCTCGTTGCTGCTGCGCCCTATTCTCTCTGTGAGACGAAAAAATACCGATCTCTCTCTCCTTCTCACTACTCTGTTCTCTCCTTTTCTCTGTGACCTCCCTTGTGAGAGCTGCAGTGAGTGACGCCGTGAGAACCGTCGGAGGACCGCCGTTGTGCCGTCTTCGTCGCCTAGCTTCCCTTCGCCGGTTCAAGCCCTTGCGGGGTGCTTTCCGGCGAGCTCTTTTGTGGGAAGGCGAGGCTTTGCGACGGAGGACCGGATGCGTGGCCGTGTGTGAAGGTGCAGTCCGGGGAACGGGCCAAGGAACCGGGGTCGCCGTCCTTTGACCACTACACAGCCGAGACTTACCGGGGGTGCCGGGAAAAAAGGACAATCTGAGCCGGGAGACTACGTGTCTTCATTATCCGGCCAGATTTCGGTCAAAGGGAGTTCCTCTTTCCATTTTCTTTCATTTCCTGTTGTTCCAGTTTTTACCTTGTGTTTTCAGCTTCTTTATTGTTGTTCATGTTAGTAGGTTTATTGTTATTAACCTACGTATTTTGATTGCGGCTGAATAGGTACGAAAATGAGCTGGAATGTGCGGTTTAAGGGGAGCTGGGATCAGCCCGGGCCAAGAAGAAGGTTGTCCAAGAGCCCGGTGGTACGAGCAGCACCCTTGTGTGGCTGGGAGTGGCTGCATTGCGGTCAGAGAGCAAGGATACGAGCTTCCGCTGCGTACGAGTCTATCGGTGTGATCGGGACGGCCACATAACAGTGTTATCAGAGACGTCCCGCCACCGCAGGTAAGTCGAGCACCTACATCTTAGGGCTCGCTCTGGTATTGGCTCTAACTCATCTGTTTACTGCTTTCTTATTATTGTAGACCCTGGACGGGGATTGCGTCCAGGGAATAGGATTATTGTAGCCTCTGGACGGGGATTGCGTCCAGAGAATAGGTTTGTGTGTTGGGAATCTAGCTGCTAGATCAATAGGTTAGATATGCATGTTATGTGTTAAATGTGCTTATCTTTGTTGCTCTGCTGTGGCTACTTTCTGTGGTTCTAGCATTAAATTTCGTATTTTCTGTTGTCTTGTGCTAATTTTCAGTGAAATTTGCTTCGTGTTAAATTTCTGTTATTTTTTGAGTCTTTGTGCCCCATTTGTTGCTGTTCATTAAGCTGAAAATTGCTTGTTAAATTGCTGAAAATTAATTGGTGCTGAAAACTACGTGTTTATCGAGCTGAATATTAATTTGTGTTGATTTCTGTGCAATTTTAAGTGCTGAAAAATCTGATTTTAGGCTGAAATCTGAGTGTGTTAATTGCTGAAATTTGTGCTGGTATTTTCTGTGAAATCTGTTGTGTTTTCTGTGAATGACTTCGTTTCCAGCTTTTAATGTGGCCCCGTTTGACGGGAAATCTGATTTTTCAATTTGGCAACAAAAATGAAAGGGATTTTAATTCAGCAGAGGGTGTTTAAAGTCGTTGAAGGCTCGTTTCCACCCGATGAACCTTCTGATAAAATTGTTGAAATGGATCAATTTGCTTATTCGTCTATTATCTTGAATTTGTCTGACTCTGTGCTTAGGAAAGTTGGTAAACTTGATTCTTCAAAAGATCTTAGGGAAAAATTAGAAGAGTTATATACTGAAACTTCTTTGCCGAGTAAATTGTTCTTGCTTGAAAAATTTTTCCAGTTTAAACTTGATCTTTCGAAAGATATTGATGAGAATCTCGATGTGTTTACTAAACTTGTTCAGGACATTAAATTGACCGGTGATAGGCATATTGATGATTATACTCCTATTGTGCTCTTAAATGCTATTCCTGATTCATACAGTGATGTCAAATCTGCTATTAAGTATGGTAGGGATAATGTGACTCTTGGCACTGTTGTGAATGGATTAAAAAGTAAAGAATTAGATTTAAAAGCTCATAAGGGGAGTAAAAATACGGGTGAGGTTCATTTTGTTAGAGGTCGACAACAAAATAGATTTCAAAATCAAAAGTCTTCTAATAATAATGGTAACCAACCTGAAAAGAAAAAAGGTAAAGGAAAAAGTCGTTTTAAATCCCGTCCGAAAAATCGTAAGTGTTACAATTGTGGTGACATTGGACATTATGCTAAAGAGTGCACTAAACCTAAAAAGAATCAAGCTAATGTGGCCTCGTGTAGTGATAAACTTGGTGATGTATTTGTGGTGACTGAAATATGTGATATGCATGCTAATGTGAATTCTATGCATTCTTATCTTTGTGAAAATGAATGGCTTGTTGATTCCGGTTGCACTTTTCACATGTCTCCATATAGAAATCTGTTTTCAAACTACAAAGAGGTTAAAAATGGCTCTGTTTCTATGGCAAATGAAAAACTTTGTGATGTTGCTGGTATTGGTGATGTGTGCCTTAAGTTTAATTCCGGTTATGTGCTTTGTTTGAAAAATGTTCGTCATGTTCCTGACTTATGCCATAACTTGATCTCTTGTGCTGCTCTTGAGGATGACGGGTTAGAGGGTAAATGGGGTAAAGGGGTTATGAAAATTCTTAAAGGTTCATTGGTTATTTTCAAAGCTGAAAAAAGGAAAAACTTGTATGTTTGCACTGCTACTTGTGAATCACATGCTGAAATTTCTGTGAATGCTGTTCATGTGGACCAAACTGATCTTTGGCATAGACGTTTAGGTCATATGAGTAGTCGTGGTCTTGAAATTTTGCATAAAGCGGGCTGTTTTGGTAAAGATAAATTATCTTGTGTGCCGTTTTGTGATTCTTGTGTACTTGGCAAACAACAACGTGTTAAATTTCCTGTTTCACCTTCCCCTAAACCCTCTATGTGTTCGAAAATTCTTGAATATTTGCATGCCGATGTTTGGGGTCCCGCTAGTGTTCCGACACATGGCGGGAGTAGGTATTTCCTGTTTGTGATAGATAATTTTTCAAGAAAAGTCTTTGTGTTTCTTTTGAAAAATAAATCTGATGTTTTCGAAACGTTTAAGACTTGGAAAACCTTGATTGAAAACCAAACCGGTAAAAAGATTAAAATTCTTAGGACTGATAATGGACTTGAATTTTGCAGTAATTTGTTTGATGAATTATGTGCTCAATCTGGTATTCAAAGGCATAAAACCGTTCCTTACACCCCTCAGCAAAACGGTGTTGCCGAGCGAATGAATAGAACTTTACTTGAAAGGGTGAGGTGTATGTTGTCTAGTTCGGGTCTTTCAAAAAAGTTTTGGGGTGAGGCTGTTTTAACTGCTACTTATTTGATAAATAGGTCTCCTTCCGTGCCTTTGAATGGTAAATGTCCTGAGTTTGTTTGGTCTGGAAAGGAAATTGATTTTTCAAACTTGCGTGTTTTCGGTTGTGCTGCGTTTTGTCATACAAAACTTGATCAACTTGAACCTCGCTCAATGAAATGTGTTTTCTTAGGATATCCTAATGGTGTTAAAGGTTATAGATTGTGGCTTAGAAGTGTACCCGGCTTTAAGGTCGTAATAAGTCGTGATGTTGTGTTCAATGAATCTGAAATGCCATGTTTAATTGCTTCTTTGCCTGCTCCTTTACCTGATGAATCTGAAAATGCTCCAAACGCGGTGGAGCAATTGAGTGGTTTAAGTGAGTTCGATAATTTTGAAAATATACATGCTGAAACTGAAACCGAACGTGCTGTGTTTGATAATCGACATGCTGAAATTGCTGAAATTGAACCTGTAATTGCTGAAACTGAAAATCAGCATGCTGAAAATGGTGAAAATGTCGATGTGCATGATGAATATGTGGAAAATGTGCCTGAAAATGACTTTGATTTGCATGATTATCAACTTGCTAGAGATAGGACTAGAAGGGAGCGTAAGAAACCTTCTAAGTTTGATGATTTTCACATGACTTCATATGCTTTTGGTGTTTTCGAATCCATTGATAATTGTGAGCCTAAGTGTTATGAGGAAGCTCTTAAATCTGTGAATTCTTTGCAATGGATGAATGCTATGTGTGAAGAAATTAATTCGTTGCATGTGAATCATACTTGGTCGCTTGTGCCTAAACCTGGTAATTGTTCCTTAGTGGATTGCAAATGGTTGTATAAGGTTAAACAAGAAAATGATTCGGTTAGGTTTAAAGCTAGACTCATAGCAAAAGGTTTCACTCAACGTGAGGGTATTGATTATACTGAAATATTTTCTCCTGTTGTTAAATTCACCACCGTGCGTATCATGCTTGCTTTAGTTGCTCATTTTGATTGGGAATGAAAGCAAATGGATGTTAAAACTGCTTTCTTGCATGGTGAATTAGATGAGAAAATATATATGAAACAACCTGTCGGTTTTGTGGATGATAAGAAATATGATTATGTGTGTTTGTTAAAGAAATCCTTGTATGGTTTGAAACAATCTCCTAGGCAATGGAACAAGAAATTTGATATGTTCATGTTTTCTTTAAAGTTTAAGAGAAGTTCTTATGACCATTGTTTGTACTTTAAAGAAAATTCTTCTGTTCCTGTTTTTCTGCTCATTTATGTGGATGATATGTTGCTGGTCGGTCCTTGTATTAAGTCTATTGAGCATGTTAAAAAATGTCTAAGTGATAAATTTGATATGAAAAACCTTGGAGATGCTAAAAGGATTCTTGGAATGAACATTATTCGTGATAGAAAAAACTCTGTGCTTTTTCTTAATCAAATTTCTTATGTGGAGAAGATTTTGAGTAAATTTTCTATGTCGTCCGCAAAGTCCGTGAACATTCCCCTTGCTGCCCACTTTGTGCTAAGTAAGGGTCAGTCTCCTAAGACCGATTCTGAAAGTGATTTGATGAAAAATGTGCCTTATTCAAATGCAATTGGTTCTGTGATGTATCTCATGGTTAGTACTAGGCCGGATATTGCATATGTTGTTAGTTGTTTGAGTAGGTACATGTCTAATCTGGGTATGCCTCATTGGGAAGCTCTTAAGTGGTTGTTACGTTACTTGAATGGTTCCATGCATGTTGGTCTGAAATTTTCTAAGTGTTCTGAAGGTGTTAAACTTGTTGGCTATGTTGATTCGAATTATGCAAATGATAGAGATAATAGGAAATCAACAACTTCATATGTGTTTACTTTGTGTGGCTCTTGTGTAAGTTGGAAATCACAACTACAACATATTGTTGCTTTGTCTACGACCGAATCTGAATATGTTGCTGTAACTGAGGCTTTGAAAGAAGCTGTTTGGTTGAAAGGCTTATTATGTGAAATCGGTTTGCTTGAAAAAGATGTCGTTGTGTTTTCGGATAGCCAATCGGGGATTCAATTGTGTAAAAATCCTGTTTTTCATGATCACACTAAGCATATAGACGTTAGGTTCCATTTCATACGTGATATTGTGTCTAAACGCTTAGTTAATCTTGAAAAAATTGCATCCGAGTTTAACCCCGCTGATATGGGAACTAAGTGCTTACCTGTTGAAAAATTTCGCTCATGCATGAGAAGTTTGAACTTTGATTCGTGTGATTGATGTGCAGTAATTTACGTGTGCTTGTAGGTAGTGTACTATGTGTTTGCTGCCTGTTTTTATACTTGTGCTAACTTCGTGAAAAGTGCAGGTGTAGTTAGGCAATGATGAAAGTCCTCCGGCCCCTCAAGGTGTCCGGTATTCGGTGGTGGGCCAAATTCGGTGGAGAAATGTTGGGATATTTGGCCCAAAACCACTTACCTTATCTCAGGCCCAAGGAAGTCTTGGCCCGGTTCCCGTCTGGGCTTGGCCCTCTTACACACAAGTGGTGGCAGGAATTAATTTGGACCCTTGGATTTAGGGAATAAATCCACACCATCCATCCTACACCTTAAATACCTCTCCTTACCCTAATTTCTGATGACTCTCACACACACTCTCTATCTCTCGTTGCTGCTGCGCCCTATTCTCTCTGTGAGACGAAAAAATACCGATCTCTCTCTCCTTCTCACTACTCTGTTCTCTCCTTTTCTCTGTGACCTCCCTTGTGAGAGCTGCAGTGAGTGACGCCGTGAGAACCGTCGGAGGACCGCCGTTGTGCCGTCTTCGTCGCCTAGCTTCCCTTCGCCGGTTCAAGCCCTTGCGGGGTGCTTTCCGGCGAGCTCTTTTGTGGGAAGGCGAGGCTTTGCGACGGAGGACCGGATGCGTGGCCGTGTGTGAAGGTGCAGTCCGGGGAACGGGCCAAGGAACCGGGGTCGCCGTCCTTTGACCACTACACAGCCGAGACTTACCGGGGGTGCCGGGAAAAAAGGACAATCTGAGCCGGGAGACTACGTGTCTTCATTATCCGGCCAGATTTCGGTCAAAGGGAGTTCCTCTTTCCATTTTCTTTCATTTCCTGTTGTTCCAGTTTTTACCTTGTGTTTTGAGCTTCTTTATTGTTGTTCATGTTAGTAGGTTTATTGTTATTAACCTCAGTATTTTGATTGCGGCTGAATAGGTACGAAAAGGAGCTGGAACGTGCGGTTTAAGGGGAGCTGGGATCAGCCCGGGCCAAGAAGAAGGCTGTCCAAGAGCCCGGTAGTACGAGCAGCACCCTTGTGTGGCTGGGAGTGGCTGCATTGTGGTCAGAGAGCAAGGATACGAGCTTTCGCTGCGTACGAGTCTATCGGTGTGATCGGAACGGCCACATAACAATTTGTTTATATATTTTTTTTTTAAACTCATAAGAGAATAATATGGGCAAAACACAAAGTTTGAAAAGTTAGATAATAGCACATTATAGAAAAAAAAATAATAAATATATTTCTATGAAATAATTTAAATATATTAAATATGTATATTTGTGACAATCCAAGTCTAAACAATTTTTTTTTTTTAAACAACAGAGATAACATATAACTAAAGTATTGTTCAGATACACCCATAAAAATGAAAACCAACAGACTAAGCAATACATGAGAGGGACACCAAGAAGGTTCCCTAGAGACCTAGAACTAACCAAGAAGGTTTCTCCGATGGGCTCCGTCTCACCGGCAGCCGACAACTCAGCCCGGCTCACTGGAGCTCCTAACACCGGACAGCCCCCGACGGGCTCCCCTCTAGGCTCTTCCACTACCCTTGGGACCATCCCAATTCTACATCGACGACACAGGCCTTGGCTGCCGCCGCCACCGCTCCCTTCGATGTGATCAATGACCAATCCACCAGTAAACTGGGACGTCAGAGATTCTCGCTCGAAAATTTTTGGGCTAATCATTGTGGGACTGCCTCTCGCTCCGAGGATGTATGGTTCAAGGAAAGTCTTCTAGAGCCTAATGTTTCTTCTCTTGTTGGGTCGTATGAAAATGCCCTTGATTTTTAAGTCCTCTTATACTGTTCCAAATCTCTGAGATTTTAATGCTGGATTAGGAAAATTAGAGTATAAGGGTAGTTACACGCCTAAGTACTTTAATTTCAATCATTACCTAGTCATCTTTGAGCTTAGGGACGACTACAATCAGACGTGGCTCAAGACATCTGTGAACGTCTGTGGGTGCACTGCCCGGGTGTTACACTCCTGACTTCTCCTCGTCGACTAATGCAAATGTTGCCCCGTTTGGTTCGCCTTCCAGACCTCCTCCCGCACCTTTACGATCCCACCGTTATTTTCTCGATTGCAGTTGTATCGGCAATCAGATCGAGGTTGATGCTGCCACGGCCAACCGGAAAAAGATATATGTCGCACAGGTGTATGTCGAGATAGACCTCCGCGGCGAGCTCGTTGATGAGATCGAGCTTAACTAGGTTGGGAAGACCACCTTTCAGAAGGTGGTCTACGAGAGGGTCTCGCCCTACTGTTCTCTTTGTGGACATGTAGGTCACATTGTGGTTGATTGTTACACCAGTAGAAACAAGCCCCTACCGTCGCTTCCTCCGCACAATTGTGCGGCTAGATAGGGCCCCCTAGTTGCTATAGGGAACCTCAAAGGGAAGGGTAAGGCGTTACCCGCGCGTCTGAGTCCCCGAAGGACATAAGGACAAGGGTAAGGCATTTGTTGAGATTTTCACTCAGGCTGGGAAGGCTGCACAACATAACAAGCCTAAGGGGTTAGTTATGGACGAGCTAAAGGCCAAGTCCACAAAGCTTTTTCCCTCCCAAGTCTCTCTAGAAGGCCTCCAAGGCCATCCACTTGTATTTCTCTATCATTTCTTCTAAGATGGATGACGAGCCCTAATCCTCCTCTTGTCCTTCAAGAGACATGACTAGTCTTCCTCTAAACGACGACGACCTCCTAGATGATGAGGCAAACCTGCCTAACATTTCATTGAGTGAGAAACCTGCAACCTCTCCACGACGACAATTCCCGTGATGTTGTATCGTCCAGCGAGCATAATACCTCCGAGGAGGGATCTCAGGTCATGAGGCCCATTCCCACCTCTATTATCCTGGAAAGGGTTGAGTCGACCCATGCTCTTTACATCGAGAGTGAGTACCTAGTTGTGCGTCAACCAATGCCTCTTCTCAGCCCACGGTCAGGGACGCTAATGCCCGCATTTTGGCATTTCCCCCATTCTTGCATGAATTGGGATTCGCACCTAAAAATGCTTTACACATCGCTAGACTGGAGGCCAGCCAGCCGGTGGATACTATAATGGGGCATGAGGACCAGTTGGAGGGTCCCACTCTGGTTTATTCCAGTTGTGCGAGGGTCAAGCGCTACGGTCTGTGGGACACCATGCGTGAGATTTCTGAGAGTATGGAGGGATTACCGTGGATAGGACTGGGCAAAAAATTCGAACCGAACCGTTGAATCGTAGAACCAAATCGAAATCGAACCGAATTTTCGGTTAATCGGGGTACTCGGTTCGGTTACAAATACCTCAAAGGAAGTATTTGCTCGGTTCGGTTCGGTTACAGTTTTTAGGATTTTTTTACCCCGGTTAACCGAACTGAACCGAATCGTATATTATATTAAAATTTATAAAATATATATTATATTTTATATTATATATTATATTTATATATATTAAACTAACCTGTTGGTATGACTATTCGCAAATTAACCGAACCGAACCGAACCGAACCGAACCGAGCAAACCTAACACAAATTTGTGTTAGGTTTGCTCGGTTCGGTTCGGTTCAGTTAATTCGCAAATAGTAGGGTTTTTTTCGGTGAACCGAAACCGAATTTTCGGTTCGGTTTCGGTTAGCAAGTTCGAATATTTGCTCGGTTCGGTTCGGTTAGCTAATACCTCAAAAAACTCGAGTATCCGAACCGTGCCCAGCCCTAACCGTGGATGGAAAAATGGTGATTTCAACATCTTTATGCATCTTGATGAGTGCGTTGGTGGCCCGTCGGACTGTTCATTTCATTCAGGAGGTGGCGGACTGCGAGTTAATTGACACTGATTGCAAAGGTTCCCCCTACACTTGAAAGCGGGTCGGAGTCAATAAGAGGTTTGACCGTGCTTTGATCTCTAAAGCATGAGCATGTGTGTTTGTGGTTACGACCGTCACACACCTCCCTCAAATTAAGTCTGGCCATGCTCCTCTTTTCATTCAATATCGATTCGCGAGCACCCCTGTTCTTCTTTCTGTTTTCAAAACATGTAAATTCGCCACCACACGTTCCATGACACTGCGGCGTAGGCTGAATCAGTGGAATTGGGATGTTTTGGAGACCTCTCTTACCGCTGTTAGTGTTATATATTGAAAGCTTGGCATTGTCTGATATTACACTTTTACCCTTTATGAATGAGAAACATGTTAAATTAAACAAGTTCTACGTTCTGTTGTTTTGCAATAGATAGTGTGGGTCGTCATCGGACGAACCGAAGATCATACTATCAGTTACTCGCGAAACAAGAATAATTGGTTCACAACCTAGATGGATATGAACACCCCATCGAAACGGTTGTAGTGTCAACTGTACAATTTGTCTTGGTTGATTAGTGGCACTTGTACAATTATGTATTGAACATGATCCCAGAGAGGAGCACGCTAAGTCGGAAGGATACAAAGGACCGGGACGTTTTATACTGATCGTCGTAAACGAACTAGGTCTCGGTTAATTACTGCGTGCTCTTAACCCGTAAGATATTAAACATACATATATGTGTAGTACTTAATATATTAGTTGATAATATAATTTTATTTTTCTAATTAATATTAAAAATAATTTTATTATTGTTATAAAGATAAATATAAATTATTTTTTTTATACATACAATATGGATGTTAAATCGAAGCTCATCAAAAGAAGATTAATTTGATATATTATATATGTAAAACTGATAAAAAATACATGAGTTATTAACTTTTAAAATATATATACAATTTAATAGTTATAATAAGGAATGATATTAAAATAAAATTAATACATGTAACATGACCATAAATAATCAACATATTTATGGTAATCCGAACCTAATTATTTTTGGTTTGAAATTAAATTAAAATTTACCCAAGCCTAATAATTATGAAACATGTAATTTTGCCATATAGGATTCCGAAGCACCAGAAGCAGCCACGTAGGCTCGGCGCGTCCTGGATTAATATATAGGGGGGATGTAGGATGTGTTGTTATGATATTTACGGTCACCATGTACGTTTAGTTTGATGATGTCCTCGGTGTGAGTTCATGAAAGATTATTATGTTAAACCCTGCAGGTGGATTAAATTCCGGCATAGTAAGAATGTATGAGCGAGCGCTAGCTTCGGTAAAATAATAATAAATTAATTAATTCTTGATTGTCAGTAATCGAATTAATTAATGGTCATTATATCTTAAACATGTGGAAATAAATCTAGTAATTATAATTGGAGTCTCAATTGTAAATTGGGCTAGGAAAAGTGAGTGCAATAATATCATGTCGGTGGCCTATTTATATTATTTAATTAAATAGAATAAGTGGCCTGACCCACAAGTATTTTAATTAATTAAGGAGTCATTCTCCTAATCTCCTAAGGGTCCCTACTGCAGCTCTATATATACATCATTAAGCTAATGGGAAGAAAACATAAGACATAATACACGCACCATCGCGCGTCCCATCTCTCTCTCTCTCTATCTCTCTCTCTCTCTCTCTCTCTCTCTCTCTCTCTCTCTCTCTCTCTCTCTCTCTCAGAGTTCCCATTCGAACTTTATCTTCTTCTTGTTGTTCCACCAGTACAAGTTGAAGAGGGTGTTTGAGATATACAGTAGAAGACCAATATGTGTTCGAGACCCGATAGTCTTCTACATAAATTGACGGGCCACGACCCGAAGGCCGATATCCGCCGACCCGAGCCAGCGAACCGGACGCCGCGACCAGGCCGAGCTCCGCCTCGACCAGCCCAGAGACACGCGACACGGCCTGCGCCTCGACGCGACCCGACCAGCCTCGGCGATCCGAACCAGCGACGACCCGACAGCCCACACGACCCGACGACCCGATCACACTTGAGCCCCAGAAGTTTTGTTCATGTGATCCAACTGTTCGTGTGCAGTGTACGGCCATCCGGAAGATCAGCCAGATCGCCAAAAATTTCAAGCAGTAAGTTTTCTATGCAAACTTTTAGATCTCCTGCGCATAGGTTTACGTTTGCTATTGAATTCATGATTTGTAAATAACGAAATTTTCATAGATCCCAACAAGTGCCTCCATGAAGCTCAAAGTGCGTATGCTAACACTGAGCGATCTAGACTTCTCTCGGGAGAATAGGACCGCCATGAGCCGCTGTCACGCTGGGTGGACCGTCATGCGCCGCTGTCAAGTTGGGTACCAACTCCGACTTATGGAGGAGGATTTTTGGAAGTAGAAGGTTATGTCACGCTGGGTTATTGAGGGAGAACGTAATACCAAGTACTTTCAAGGGTGAGGTAGAACCATGTCAAGTCGTATATCCATATTATCGAGGTCAATGGGTCACCCATGAGCCATGAGCCCCAAATACAGGAGACGGCCTGGAGCACTTTCAGTTTCTCTTCACCTCAGACCGGGAATCGCTTACACTCCCCGTCGCTTCCTTCTTCCCCACCATCCCTCAATCGGTTGACCTTATAGGCTCAGCATTTGAAAAAAAAAAAAGTGAATTAAAAGCATAGCTCACTCTGTAACTCATTAAAAAAAGCCCTCACTCATCACCTATATAAGAATTTCTGGAAGTTTGTTCAACATCAACAATGAGAGGCAAAAATTTAGATACGTCTAAATTTATCAGATGTTTACACGAAAAAAGGCATTATATCTGCATTTACATTCAGTTTGAAAAAAATCAAACAACAATCAAAGAAAATGACTGGCAGGAGGTGGGAAGTGGGAACGTGTTTAAAGCCTGTGAATAATGAACACGCTGCTGGGAAGTGGCCAGTGGAACAGGCTGGGAGGTTGTGAAGTGGAAACATTCTGTTGAGGTTTTTTTTCAATTGAAAATCGAAACCAAATTGAGTTTTCAGTAACCAAAAATTCGGTTACTGACCACGAGTCGGTTCAGTTTCAGTTTTTGTTTAGCATTTTACGGTTACCGAAACTATAAGTTTGGTATCAGCATTAGTTCTTGCTTATCGATTTGGTTATCGAACCGATACCAACCCTAACTGTGAATGTGATATATGCGTGTGTGGGTTCAATTCACTTCCTCAGTCGATGATATTGTCTGTGTGAAAAAAATAGAAAAGCATCTGGCTTGTCAATCTTCAACAATACCAGACTAAAACGATGATATCAACCCCTAAAAGGAGTCAAGTAAGGGGCAATTAAGTCATTCCACAAAGGATATGTGTGAAGCTCTAGATGTCTCAAACTGTGCGTAGGGAGAAGTCTTCTTCTCTTGAAAAATAGATTGAATTTTACCATATTGGCATCCCAAAAACCTTAATAACAAGGACATTTTTGTTTGTTCAAACAAGGACATTTAAGTAATTGCACCAAAAAATGTCAAATGTCAACCAAACAATGCGTCACTTGTCGCCATTGGAATGAATTTATATCTTCATATATAATAGTAGATATGTGTGTGTGCGCGCACTCTAGTGAGAATGATTATCAGTATAAAAAATAAGAATGAATAATATCTATAAAATATGATATCTCCGACGGCCAAGAAGAATCCAAAATTACACAATAATAAAGGACATAACTGATTTTTCCTCGTGTCGCCGCGACCACACCCACCTCACGAACCCTCGTCGTAGCCCTCAAACAGGTCTTGGTTCTTAGATTTGCACTATGCATTTACAAATTCGTAAAATAAGAGTGTAGTTACACACAATGTTCAACAGTTAATATATCAGACAAATAGTGCCCAAAATAGTGTTCATGATACATAGTAAAACTCTCACATAATCACAAAAATAACAAAAAAATAATAATAATGTTTGGAGTAAACCATGCTTATGTCATACTTTTTTGATTGTGTGTTACTGAAAATGCACATAAGTGATATGCACATTGCGTGTGAATATGCATATTATGTCATCGCCTGAAAAAATTTCACTATGTTTTTAGAAGAAAAAAATGACCAGTTGATATAATTTAAAGCGTTCACATAACCATATCCGATGGATATGTTTTATTTGTATTTCTTTCATTATCTCTCGTTTCTATTTGACCCTAATTTGAGTTTTGTCATTAATTAGCATACTTAAAAATTCGAATAGATTGAATATAAATAGATTTTAGCATAGCATATATATGCTGCTTGTCTAAAACATGATGACATTGGTCATAAGTCTAGTTTTTTAAATGGCTACAATCCAGTATAAAGCACTTCCCAATTGAACAACCACATCCATTACAACAACATTTTTATAAAATAAAATGACAAGATTTACTACTCATACAATGAAAAACTATAATTACAAAAGCAGAAAAATACTACAGTCTCGTTACGAAACCATTTCATTGAGATTTGTAATCGTCGTGGATAGTTGATCTAACGGTTACAAATCCCGATGGAATGGTTCCGTAACGGGACCGTAGAATCTCGACAAAAGCAAAGTCTTTCCTCAAATTTTGAAGTATAAATCTAAAGCAACTCAAAATGAGGATGGCAAGCGTCAACAAGGAGGCAGATCGGTGGGAGGCGGCAGCACGCACTGAGACGGGGCTTTGCCGTTTTCCACGATGAAGCCCATAGCCAGACCCCACGACGTGTGCTCCTCAAGGTGACAATGCACAAACCACACCCCTGGGTTGTCCGCCACCAGCCTTATCGCGGCCCATCCCCCCATCGGCACAGCCACCGTGTTCCTCTCCGGTGGGTCTACAAGGTTGTAACTCGCCGGGTTCTTGTCCTGGTCGAAATTCCCGAACCCGCTCCCCACCACAAAGAAATTGTGTCCGTGGATGTGAATTGGGTGGTTCTCTGGGTTTAGGAAGTTTGTCCCCTGCAGCACGATCTCGAGCCTCGTCCCGAACGCCACACGGAGCACGCTCGTCCCGAAATTGGTGTTCATGTTCTCGGCCACTGGGTCCACGCCTGTGTAGTTAAAACCGTGGGGAGGGTTGTCTGAAATATCCCACGTCCAGTTTTTCAAGCCGAGGCCGTAGTAGTGGGACTGGAGCAACGAAACTGTAGGGCGAACGAAGGAGTGGTTGTTGATGGACGCATAGAATCTCTTATTCCGATACCCCTTGCATGTGCGGTTGGGTGGGCAATCCTGGAGGTTTAGGCTTATGGTTGTTATGACACGTTTGTCGATCGTTTTGGGGACACGACAAGGGTATTCTGGGGATGCCAGGCTCTTGAGACTATTGGTGAAGCGCGTTGCAAACATGGTGTCTTCCAATGCGGGTAGGTTTTGTGGGAGGGTGAGATGATGATAAGGTGGTTTTGTGTAATTGGTAGTTGTGTACCTTAGGAAGCCGACGGTGGTGGAGTTGTCGAAGGGGAAGACGGATGAGAGGTAGGGGCGGGCGGCCATGATGAACGATTGGGCATCAGTTGATGCATCGGTTGTGAGGAGGACGTTGGTGGTTTGTCCAGGAGCAATCATGATGGCTGTGGTTGGAAAGGGCTTTGTGTAGGCGCCGTCGATCTCAACCACGGTTAGGCTGTGGTTGGCCACAGCGAAGAAGAGCTCATCATTGAGAGCTGCGTTGATGATTCGTAGGAGGTAGGTTTTTCCGGGGTCGACGTCGAGGACAAAAGTATCTGTTACAAAAATATAAAATCCTTGATTAGTTCAAACTGAAATGAGGCATGAGTGTGAGTGTGAGTATTAATTAATGGTACCTTTGGTGGAAGTGGAACAGGGGTATAAGGGTCCCGGTAGGCCATTGATTGTGTAAGCGTCGGAAACCTGAGGTCCGCCACCGTACAACATCATTTCGGTTTCGACCACATCAATATCGGCATTCCACCATTCACCAAAGATGATGGGAGGAAGATGATGGTCGGGTTTGAGTGAGAATGGGAAAGGCATGCGAGGGTAAACGATAAAAGCACCGTAAACAGAGGCGCGTTGCCAAGAAAAGTGAGCGTGCCACCAGAGCGTGCCCCTATGGGACGCCACACTGAACTTGTAGACGTAGCTTTTGCCTGCGCCGATGGGGCACTGCGTGATGTACGCGGGCCCATCTGCCCAGCCTGTTCTCACTTGCTTCACCCCATGCCTGCAACAAATTCATTATTGTTCCACATTATATTGCATTCTTAATTATTAGGTAAAATGTATTTGCACTGAAACATAATCTTGAATGGTATTAAGTAAAAGATTTAAATAAATAAAAATAAATAAATAAATTTGTGTAAAAAAAAATGAGAATAGTCAATTTTTCAATGATTGTTGATTGCTAATAATTAAGTCTCATTTTTCTATCATTTGTTAATTAATGTTATATTCGTTATTATTTGAAATCATGATCATCGCTCTGGTTATTTTGATTGATGTAATGATTTTATATCTTCTTTTGTTGTCACTGTTGTTTGTGTCGATTAGATTTAATTGTTAATTCAATATTAATCAACGTCGTTCGAATGTTTTCTCTTACGTTCTCTTATCTTTGATATATTTTTGTGGATGATTTAAGCCAAAGGTAATCTTGCATTATACAAAATTGTAAAATTTCTATTTTAAAATAGTGTTCCTTATATGAAAAATATATATTCTATTAATAGAAAAAAAAAAATTATTCTAACTTGTTAAGAAAAAGATTCTGAATAACAATATCTAAATTCACCTTTAATTAATAAAACACATGATACAGATTTATTTTTATGCTAATGTATATTGAATGTATCTTAATTCAAAGCTAATTTACATTGTTTGGATATTTTCTCTCAAATATCTTAATTCAAAAGTTTGTCAACAGATTATTAATTTGATATATCATATATAAAAATTCAATTACAAATACAAAAGCTATTAAGTTTTAAAATATATTCATAAGTTAGATTAGTTTAGCGTTTTCATAATTTTAAAAGTTCTAACAAGAATGAATAGAAGTCTCAATCTATATGGACTACTATTAAGCACCAAATTCAAACTGAAAAAAAAAAAAAAAGAAAACATTAATTGACAGATAAAATTACGTAGCACAAAAATTCGACCCATGAAATTATGAAATACTAAAATTTGACAAATAACCAAAGTTTCGACATATGGTATGGCGAAACACTAGAATTTGACACATAAACTTACGAACTGCGATATGTTTCATTCGTTGAATATAACATTTAATTTAATTTATTTCTATTGTGCATATTATATTTAATGTGGCCTACAATGCATTTTCAAGTTGGGTCAAAAGTTGGAATCCAAGAAAAGGTTAATTGCATATTAAACAAAGAAAAAAAATGCAACTAACTTTATAAGAAATAGCAAATAGGGACTCTCAAATCAAGATTATAATAAAGGAAGATGTTGAGTCCCGTTACGGAATCATTCCGTCGAAGTTTATAATTGTTAGATCGACTATCTTTAACGGTTAAATGATGATCTAACAGTTATAGTCTCACCTCCTTCGTCCCCTTATCTGGTAGCGTTCTAAACTCGAACTCCTTCTGGTCGAAGATTTTCTCTGGGACTTTAATATTTCCCATAATAAATAGATGAAATATACAGAATTATAATTTTAAAATCGTAGTTATAATATTTTGGTGAGATATATACAACCTGGACTTGATGATTATGTCCCTGCATCCAGTTAATTTTAAAGATCTCTCGACCAATGCAGGAAACTAAGGAAAGCCTATTCAACTTTACGTGAACTGACTGACTGATGATTATCAATAACTTTGTCAGATATATTATTACATTCTTTTAATGAATGCTTATTCCCAAGCTCGACAAACAATCATAACTTTTTTTTTTTTTTCAAAAGTCCACGAGAAATAGGAGTACAACTTTTGGTCCAAGCGTCGACCCGGCCCGTCGTCTCGGATCGGCTCGTATTACGTTGGTTCTGTGAATCGAAACCGTGACCATACGAGTCGGTTCTGGTTCTTTAAATTTTTATTTTGTCGGGCCGGGTCGATCCAAGACCAGCCAAAACCGACGAGTCAATGCCCCGGCGGTTCAAGCCCGGTTCAATGAACCGGCCCATAAAAATGACCGGGCCGGACTGGGTCATCGTTATTTGGCCAAGTCTATTTTGGTCCATATTTTGGCAAACGTAGTTACCAGGAAATTTTTGACAAGATACATTGTTATGAGTTGTACATTAATGTTAGATTTGTAACAATAAATGCACATATAATTTAGGAGGTATTTAATTGATAATTATATTGCATATTTAATTGATAACTATGTACGGATATTACTTTCAATACAGTAATAATTATATTATATATATATATATATAAATAAAAAAAAAAAATCTGAAGTCCCATAGGATACGGATCGTCAAATCAATTCAATATATAGGGAATATGCTTTACAATTAATGTTCACAAGTATACAAAAATTAATAATCTGAAAATATTGACTTTATTAGCAAAGTTGAAAATAATAATTTTGTTTTTTAGTACGATATATTGGTGGGTTCAAATTAATTTGAACCTAATGATTGTCATAATTTACAATGTTTCTTGAAATGTATGCATAAAAAAGTGTTTTTTTTTTTTCATAATTTAAGTCTTGTAAAAGGGACTGCTTTGACATTTCAAGCCAACGCCTAATTAAATGACTTATAATTAAATAAAACGTCATGCATCCAACATTTTAAAGCGTAGACACAATCATTTTGCTATGTTTAATTGATTTCAATTGTACCCATTCTTCATTGCAAAATTAGGTCCTATACGCTATAGTATAGTCGGATATACGTATGGCTAGGGCAGTTATCGAACCAAACTGTTTGGGAACAAAGTTCGTTCGTGTTCTATAACCAGTCATTTATTTAGTAATCGATCCAAATTCAAACAGATAATTGTGTTCGTTTAGTTATCGACGAACAAGGCGAATAAGTTTGCGAACTAATCGAGCGTTCGCGAACAAAAAGGGATTTTATAATTATATATATTAATATATATAGTATATACATGTATAATATAATATTAAATATGGTTATATATTAAATATTAAATAAAATAACTTGTATGGTATGAAAAAAAAAAAAAGGCAACGAACACGAACAATTCGAACAGTTCACGAACAAGTTCGACTATATAAACGAACGAACACGAACGTGTCGAATCAATAGACGAACAAACACGAACATGTTCGAAAATTAGTCGAACCCAAGCTCGAAAACTTTAAGTTCAGCTCGGTTCGGTTCGATAACAGCCCTACGCATGGCCGTCACACCCCTATTAAGGAATTACTAAAATTTTATTTTCTATTTTTACTTTCAACATATTACTCACCAATGTATGGTAGTGTTTGTGGCGACCCGATTGGTGACCTTGATTTCGACATTATCCCCTTCATTTACAGCAACGGTTGGCCCTGGGTACTTCCCATTCACCGTCAATACTTTCTTTGTATGGCAAAGTCTTGTCACACTCTTCCACTCAACCTGCACCATTAATGAGCATTCAAATAATCTTTAGTAATTAATGGGAAATGCTACAGTCTCGTCACAAAATCATTCTTTCATCATGTAACCGTCGTGGATAGTTGATCTAACGGTTACAAATCCCGACGGAACGATTCTGTAACGGGACCATAGAATCTCCCGTAATTAATATATGAAAATACCAATTATATATATGTACGCAAAACTTACATTGAACTGAAATTGCTTTGTGTTGGATGAAGAAGAAAGAAGAAGAGGCAATGTGGGTAGCAAGAGTGACATAATTAGAAGGAGTTGGTGAAATAAGGAGTTGATGATGATCATCATTTTTGTTTCCAACTCACTTATTATTATTAGTATTTTTATTAGTTGTTATATAATGTGCAAAGTTTACTAGTCCAACATCACATATATATAGCATAAGGATTGGGGGTTGGCGCATCTTTTTTTGGTCAAAAGATGGATACTTACTTACTCAGCTTGAGTCGCGTGCATAATAACAAACAAACCATTCATAATTTCGTTTGGAGACCACTTTCCAATTTTGGTCCCATATGACTGGAAGTCGAAATCAGTGTAACCCACATGAATTAATTGATTCTTGTCTGGCCGTAAGCGCGGAGCTCTTTGCCCGAAGTTCGACATCCTTGGCTCTGAGCTAGACCTTTTTTTTTTTATTGTGTCACAATATGATCAGAATTTTCAACTTTTTTAATTGAGAATTTCGTTTTAATCTATTCTCGATTGAAAACTTATTGTTACGTTTCAATTTTGAAATTAAGACCTCAACTTTGTATTTTGAAGTAATTATATAAACCACAATAAAATTATTTTAAATTTATATTTTAAATTCTTATATTTAAAGATATTAAATATCTTTACTCAAATTAACTTATAAGAAAATTAATTCGTATAACTTACATTTATGCAAAATGTTAATGAAATTTATTTTAAAAGTTAATAAATATTGAAAACTAAATTTGAAGAATGCTTAATATATATAATATTATAAATGATAATAAAAATATGTAATAACACCAAAAATAAATTATTTATAAAAAATTTTCTAAATGAAATTATTGGAAATATTATATTTGAATAAAATTTCTATTTTAAAAAATTAAGAATAAATAAATTTAATACTTATAAAAAGTATTAAATATCCTAGTAAAATTAGCGTAGAGGAAATTAATTCAAATATGTTACATTCATACAAAATTTTAGTGAACTTCATTTCAAAAGTTCAAAAAGGAAAAATCAAATTTTAAAATATATAATTTCAATTTATATAGACTGATATCTAATATTTAATAAAATTAAAAAATAAAGTATTTTGCAAATTATTTTAGTTTTTTTTTCTATGCTTCAGTAATTTGGATTTATTGTATTTCATTTTTTTTTTTCTAAATTTAATAGTTTCGAGCAGTTAATAGGTTTGTTATCGTGTCAACTGCTCTAACTAAAGGAATGAGCTAGCGAATGAACTATGGAGAACAAGGAATTCTTCTCCCTCTGCAATCTCTAGAAACATCCCTCTTTTCCCTCCTTTACGAATATCTTCCCTAAACTCATCATTCATTAATAGTCAAGCTTGATGAGAAGAGGCAGCTCAGTTGGTAACACTCTTCATTTGGAACAAATAGGACTCGAGTTCGAGTCAGGCAGGGTAAGTGAGGAACCATTATTGAACCTCTTTTTAAAAGGGGAGAAAAAGAAGATCAATAGTCAAACTTAGAAAATAAAATAGAAAAACTCTATAATATTCTTTTAATTTTATTACATATTTAGATTAGAATAATATTTAGATAATATATTTTCAAAATAATATTATTATATATAATAATTTATTAATAAATATTTCTAAAATAATAAAATCATATATGAATAATATTTTCAATAATATTAATTATAAAAAATAAAATAATTTTTTAAATATTTTATTTTCTAATTATTTACATATTTTTATTACCAATTAATATAATTGTTAAAATTTTTAATTTTGTAATTAATTACATATTTTTACTACTAATTAATATAATATTTAAATTATGCATTCTTAAATGTAGTTTTAATATTTTTTACTTTTAAAGTAAATTTCATTTGCACAAATGTGGCTTAAATGAATTTATTTTGTTACTACGGTAATTATACTAAAGATATTCATAATTATTTATTATAATTATTTAAAATATAAATTTTAATTAATAGCATTTTGATTTACATAAT